AGGTGGCAAGGCACTGTCAAAAGATCTCTGGGATAAAGTTGTCGACAGGAACAAGTCAGGAGATGGATACAAAAAAAAAATCAAATCAAATCAAAGGCTTTATCAATGCCTAGAATCACAGTGAAGTCTATTAAGAAGTGAAATCTATTTGGTAAAACACATACCCTCCCTGGATCAGAATGTTGCTCCAAACTGGATGAAAGAGGAAACCAAGAGGAAACTGGTTGGAGAGGCGACCAAGAAGCCTACAGCAAATCTGAAGCAGTTGCAGGAATTTATGACAAAGAGTGGTCATTGTGTGCATGTGACAATAATATCACAAATTCTCCTCAAATGTAGCTTGTATGGGAGGGTTGCAAGAAAAAAGCCACTCTTCAAGAAAGGCCACATGCAGTCACGACTGGAGCTTTGCCAAAACACACCTTGAAGATTCTGAGGCAGATGAGACTAAAATTGAATAATTTGGCCTCAACACCAAATGATATGTCTGGAGGAAATACAATACAGCTCACCATCCAAATAACAGCATTCCTACAGTAAGGCAAGGACGTGCTAATATCCTGTTCTAGGGGTGTTTCTCTGCAGCATGGACTGGAGCACTTGTCAGGATAGAAGGAAAAATGGATGGGGCAAAATACTGTCAAATTCTTGAGGAAAATCTGCTGCCCTCTGCCAGAAAGTTGTCAATGGCAAGAAGGCTTACCTTCAAACATGACAATGACCCAAAGCACACAGCAAAACTGACAAAAGGTGAATGTCCTTGCATGGCCTAGTCAGAGCCCAGACTTAAACCCCACTGAAAATCTGTGGAATGACTTGAAGACTGCAGTCCACAAACACTCACCATCAAATTTAACTGAACTTGAGCAGTTCTGCAAAGAAGAGTGGGCAAATATTGCAAAGTCTAGATGTGCAAAGTTAGTAGAGACAAATCCCAACAGACTAAAGGCTGTAATTAAAGCAAAAGGTGCTTTAAAAAAATACTGACACAAGGGGATGATCCTTTTTCCAACTCAGCGAGTGTGTTTGCATGCACGTTCTTAAGCTGATTATGCTTAATAAGCCGACAACGCCCATGGTCATGTAAACACAGTAACCCGTTTACTTGTGTTGTCAGGTTACTGATGTGCATGTAAATGTGGAAAACTGGTTGTTTTATTAAGCTGATATTTGTGAATTATCCTCTTGTAAACATGCTCAGTGATTTTTTTATTTTTAATTTTTTCCTGACATGTTGGTGTTACATTTTTCACTTGGATGTTAAGTTGCACTGAGTAAATGTAACTGGATAAAACAAAAACTGTATCCGACTTTATTTCAGGCTGCAAAGCAACAAAATGTGATTATTTTAAAGGGGGTGATTCTTTTCTAAACCCACTGTTTATAAAGTGTGTGTGTGTGTGTGTATGTATATATATATATATATATATTTAAGCCGCACATAACCAACAAAGCTATTGTTTTAGTACAATATTTGATTAACAGGTCAATCCTTTGTTGTCTTCGGGATGCATCACGACCAAGCGGCAATCTCCCGCTCTCTCTCGTGAAGCCAATACGGAAGTGACTTAAACAGTAATTCGTCATCTGGCCGCTAGAGGCTGGCTGCAAAAAGGAGTCAATCCCATAGACTCCCCATGTTAAAATGCCCAACTTTACAGCAAAAAATAGCTAATTTTGCCCTTCATGACAACTGTGAGGGTGGTGAATTTTTTTTTATAACTCATCCGTTTAAATTATATCAAGCCTTAAAGTTCTGCATAATTAAGGGCGTGGCCACTTGAGTGACAGGTAGATTGTCGCTGCTGTCACCACCGTCGAGCTAGATGGGCGTGGTTTCAGCAACCAGCTACTGCCTCTTTGCCCAGTTTCGATTGGGAGTGACGCGCGGTGATGTGCTGCCAAGCCGCCACCGCCCAGTTTGGGCTTCAAAAATGCTCTTCGGAAACCTACGGGTGACGTCACGGACACTACGTCTGTGTTTTTATACAATCTATGATCACGACAGATTGTGTGTTTAAACTACAAATGTGATGGTCAAATACCTTTTAAACTTGAATATAGTTTGAAGAATCTGATCAGAAAATGTTTTGGATTTACATTTGTATTTAGCGCTCTCCACTTGTGATTGGATCTCCAATACGGATGTTAATAACAGACTAGTCTCGCGTAGCCAGACCTTCAGACTGACGGCAGAATGTCTGGGAACCTTGGCCGCTTTGAATGGCAAGGACCGCCCAATAGGCCATATGACTGACAGATAAAGCGTGGAAATATCCCCACAATAACAGACCGTGTGTAAATCTCTTGGACGCATTTGAAAGATTCTATGCCACAAACTTTCACAATTTCACATACTTTTAAAAATCCAGTGTTTAGTTGGATCCTCATAAACGTTCATTATCACAGTTGTAAACACGACGGCTTTCTTCTAACATGAGGGGTTTGGCGTCATGGCATCTTTGTTTCCATGCAGAACGTTATAGAACGCGACACACACGTCTCCCGGAAATCCTGTATAATTCAACCAATCCAATGACGACTTCGAAACTCCTGAAGTGTTTCCAAATTTGTGTGCCGTATGCATCAGATGTTTAGCCAATGGTCCGTGGGCGTGACGTCTGAGGCTGAGACTAATAACAGACGTAAACCCACGTCTGATGTTTTTTATTGCATGAATTAGGAACAATGAATGCAAGACATTTTCCAACAAATGTGCCTGCTTTTTATAACCCAAGAACATACAGCCAGCTTTACTCATACATATTCAGGTTAGCGATGAATATATGCTATAAATGGAATTTGCAACTGCTAAGCTAGACAAAAGTACATTTATGACATCAGCTGTTCCATTTGTTAAGGCTCAACAGAAGTGAAGAAGAAGATTGAGTGGGTCTAATGGACATTTGAGTGTGGTCATTTATGCATAATATGCCAAGGACAAGGAATGTACAGAAGCTCCTCCTTACATGTGAGTTTATCAAATAAATCTCTAAAACAGCTCCTTCAATCTGTGGTGTCATAGTAGGAGTATCATGATTAAAATCAAAGTTCTAAATACAGAATCAGTATTCAACTGGTGAAAATGTAGAGTGAAAGGCCTAAAATATAGGACGAGGGGCCTTGAGAGCCGCATGTAAAATGACAACCCAGTGTGAAAAAAGTAGTTTGTGTCGTACTACACTCAAAATTTCCTGAATGAACCACAACAGACTCAGAGAGAGGAAGAGATATAAATAAACTTAAAAACAAAGTTTGTGTCTCTCTGAAACATAAATGTATTATTAATATGATACAACCTCATATACTGCGACTTCCTTACATACAGTACTATTACATTTTTAAGTCTCTGACTATCTATTATGAATGTTACTGAATTCCAGCTACACGTCCTTTGTGCTCTGTTGCTGTAAAACTTCTCTGATCTCAGTCCCTGCAAATAAATGAACTAAGTATTTCCCAGATAAAATCCAAACCCTATCCTTTAGGATTTCATTACCTTTCCCAATCCTAACCTAATTTCATCCCCATTCCCATTTTTCAGCAAACAGCTAATGTAATTATTCTACCTGTAGCCATAATGTTAACTTTTGCCTATGTACTGGTACATGCAATTAAGAAAATACATACATACATACATAAAGTCTATGAAATATGGCAAAAGTCATTTCCATGCATATCAGTCCATACAATTTTGGACACAGTTTAAAACTTTAAAATAAATTTGAAAACAAAAGAGGTTCTCTATGAGTACTTAAAGTAGACTTGTGCTACCAAATAATTAAAGCAATTTTCACATCTCCTTGAATACTAAAATAATAATGCTTACTAATAAATCACACATCCTTAAAACTCTTAAAGACATCTGGAGTTTCTGAGATGCCATATCTAATATAATAAATCGAATATCAATAATAAATGTGTGAACTCAAATCTCAAAACATTTCAGAATGATCACTTTGCTCATTATTTCCCCCAAATTATTTTTGTATTTTCCTCTGAAACTTAGGCCCAATCCCAATTCTACCCCTTAGCCCTTCCCCTCTTCGCTACCCCTCCGTTTCGCGCGTTCACGTGAAGGGGTAGGGGTGTCTCGATTATCTTTTGGTTGGAGGGGTAGGGGTAAAGGGAAGAGCCAAATAGCCCTTCAAACGAAGATTTTTCGGGACCACACTTCAAACGAAGGGGTATGAATTATCTCAGCGTAAACCGGCTTCAGGGGCAACATGGCTGCCCGAGCGAACAAAAAGACATACATTTTTGGCATTAATAAAGATTTTAACGAAAAGTAATCATTTGATTTATGTTACTTTCAATCGTGAGTTCATATTTACGGTCGTGTTACTCAAAGAAATGTTTGCAAAAATTCGCAAAGTTTGCTAACGTCATGTCATTACAGACTGCATGATAGTGCCACAACATATTTTCATGTCTGATCAGGGCGATAACCGCTATAGACATTGAGGGGGCTAGTCTCCTCAATAATTCTAAATCGCTAAACCCTTTTCTCAAATATCGCCAATTGGAGAGCGAGAGAGAGAGAGATGAAAGTTGTGTGTATGCGCGTCTGTGCGTTTCTCTTTTTAGAGTGAGTTTACTTCAAAAACAGCGATTTTATCATCTTGTTGCTGGAAAATATAATGTAGCGATTCAGTATTTAAACTGTTATTATTAAAAGTCGTGGGGCAGCGTTGACAAGTATCTTTGCTCCTGGATGTGTGAGCTGCGCGATCTCTGATATGTGTGTGTGTGTGTGAGTAAGCAGCGCAATAATATAGAACGGTAATTAAAGGCTCTAATGCACACACCAGCACACCAGTATAGGTGTGTGTATTGTAGGAGCTAGACAACGTATGATGACGTATGACAGCATAGTAGTGGTGTCCCAATTCTTAGGGGAATATTTTCACCCCTACCCCGACACTCTGTTTCAAGGGACAAGGGGAAGGAGTAGGCGGAGGGGTAGGGGAAGGGGTATAAAATAGAATTGGGATTGGGGCTTAATGACAGGTCTGCAGTATAGAATGAAGAACTGTCTGATGGACCAGGAAAGTGGAAAGCATCTTACCGGCTTTCTTGGGCACACGAGTGAAGGTTCCTTTCACAGTTCGGCAGTGGGAGTTGTCACCCCCACACACACCACACTTATCCTCCACCTTACTGGAGCCAATTTCCCTGTCACAGCCCACTTTCTGAAGGAAAGGGAGAAAGGGAGAGGGGGGAGGGGGAATATGCAAGACACACTCAGACAAGAGGCAAGTGGTCCCATCAAAAATACTTCAAGCTTTCATCTTTGAATATGTCTGCATTTGATATCATGAAATTATAGCTGCTTTTAATAGTTTTGAAGTATCTCCCATGTTGCTATTTTGGCCACTGAAGCATTATCCGTAAAAAGTGTCACCAAGAATCAGTTATTTTTCTTTTTGAAAGTACAACATGACATTTACAAATATGAGACACACTGCAGCAGTTTGCTGAACAAAACTTTTAAAAAGATGATCGATATCTGCAAATAAATCCTAAAGCATCGGTACACTAGCTGACACACTATCAATCATTTCCTCCCAAAAGCTAATCACTATTCATTGTCCATTCCATCTACAAAAATCAATGTACTTCTATCAGCCCCATTCAGAGAGATCCATTCTTCAAACAACATTAATTGTGAAGTGGCACTCATCCTGTACACAGTACTTTGTCAGATGCAGTTGCTCAGTGACAATCCACAGAGGCAACTCACAAATGTATAACAGAAAATAACAAGGATGTACAGTGGGACAGATTTGCCTGCACTTACAATTAAAATTAAAATGTGTAGACGCATTTTTGCCTATTCAGAAGTGTGTGAAAAGTTCTAAATTGGTCTTACATGGATTTTAATGAACACAAGTCTTTGAGTAAAGTGAGTCAGATGTGTACTTTAATGTCAGACTAGGTAATGTCCTTCTACACTGCATGCTGGTGTTTTACGACACAATTAGGCACAACACTAAGCCTATCAGTAAACAGGGAAGATATTTTGTTTGCCCTGGGAGCATTTATTAAGTGCATCTGCCCAAGAAATTAATTCCCCAAAGCAAAGCCATAGCAACCACACACATTGACACTGATAAACCAACATTCAGAATTCAGACAAATCTGGAAATAATTTCTGTGCTGGTGGGGAAAATGGCCAGCCAATGTACTTAAAAATAAATATGTGCTGATGTGTATTTACTCTCTTGTGAAACAATCTCTTGTAATTATGTATTTGTTGCCATAACACAGAATAATTATGCTAAGATTTTTAAAGAGAACAATAATGATTTTGAAGGTAAGCCTCAGCCTAAGTTCAAGTTCATGGCAGCAGATCTTTCAAATATATTTTTGTTTTAATCAGGTGGTTATGAAAATGAGCTATTTTGTTGCACACCATTCTATTATTGAGTTCTTAATGAGAAAAATACTAGTCATGTTCATTTTAATTTGTGCTAATTATTTTTTTAGCATCAGTTATAATGTATGAAAAAGGCAGCATACAACCCTGAAATAGTACCTGAAATGCATAATGAAATTTGAATGCTTACCACACAATCTCCACGCACACAGATGCTATACGGGTCTTTGTAAGAGCACTTTGTCCCATCATGCACCAGCTGCTTCATGTAAGCCACGTCACCTGTTTCTTTTGACTGGCAATAAAGATGACATCTTTTGTTGGCTGAAAATATAGAAAGACATGAAGAAATATTATTTAATAAGAAAGACCACAAATTACAGCTGGACTCAGTTACAGTATGTGCCTTTTTTCCTGTAGCTATATTCAAATAAAATAAAGTTATAAGAAGTCAATGATAACATTCAAACAATAAAAGTGATATATAAACAAGCACTAACACTTTAGATTAGGAAACACTATTCACTATTAACTAGTTGCTTATTAACATGCATATTACTAGCATATTGACTGTTTATTAGTACTTATAAAGCACATATTAATGCCTTATTCTGCATGACCATATTCTAGATCCCTTAACTCTACTCCACACCCAAACATAACTACTACGACTAAAACTTACTATCAATAAGCAGTTTATTGAGGGGAAAACTCTTAGTTAATAGTTAATGCTCCGTAATCTAAAGTGTCATCAATCAAAAATTAGTACTATAATATAATATTCAAGTAAAATTAAAATGAATGTGCTTTTTTAGGTCTTAATCTCCAAGTTTTGAACTAATCAATTATTCATATGCATTAAAAATTACTTTTGCAACATAGTTCTGACATCTGCTGCCCGATTAAACTCTTGAACTTATAAAAATAGCTTAAAATAGTATATAATACCATTAGAATAACTCCCTAAAATGTTTAGCATATGCTAATTAGGTTTCACATTGCAACTAGTTGCTATTTTATATTATAAGAGAAAAATAGCACAAATGTTTAAAAGGAGAGCTTATGCAAAAATCTAAATTCTGTCATCATTTACACACCCTTATGTTTATCCAAAAAAAGTAATACAAGTTTGAAATGACATGAGGGTGAGTAAATGATGACAGACTTTTCAGCACATAGTAATGGAATGCAATGAAATGAACGTATGGTGTGTGGATATTAACGTGCTAATGTAGACAACACTAGGAGACCTTGTGGAAGTGTTTGGTCAAGTAACTTAAAGGCACAATATGTACGATTTTTTTTATTAAAATATCCAAAAACCACTACACTGTAAAATCCAATAGTTTACCTTACTTAGATTTAGTTAGTTATCTTTACTTAGTTGTTATACTTACTAGGTTTTATTAAGTTACAGCTACTTTCAAGGCAAATAAAACAATTTACTTACTGTTTTGAGTGACACTTACTTAAAATATTCCAGTAGCCACAAAGGAACCACTGATATTAATAAAGCAGTGAGAGGCAGCAGCGCATTAATATGTTGCTAATGTGCAACATAACAACAGAAGAAGAGGAAAAGAAAAAGAGTCTTAATAGACTTTTCACCCATTTCCTCCATGTCTGCTGTTATCTTTCACTAGTTGCATTCACTCGTTTCCCAAAGTCATCTTGAATGTTGAATTCTCAATACAACTGAAATATTTAAGAGAACATCACATAAGTTAACTTCATAAATAGATGTTGATTTTCCTCAAATGTGTTTTTTTTTACTCACCATTATAGTGATTAGCGTTCTCTTTGGTTGGGCACTTTGAACTTGGTTTACATTACTATAACTTACTTCCTGTTAAAGCAGTAAAGCATTATGAAGTCAGAGTTATTTGAGTTCAAAGGAAGAAAAGTAATAAATAGGTTGCATCTAGAAGGTGACCTATCTTCTAATTAAAACATTAGTGTATTTTTTGTGTGTTTAATAATGAACTATATCAAATTTATTTTTTCATAATTATCCTGAGATGTTAATATTTGGGTTTATATAATCCTTAAATCGTGTGTGGTAAC